GCAGGCGGGCATTTTTGCGAGATAAATCAATCCGGACCACGAAGGCGAGAGGAAGTGACTCGCACGAGCTACGACGCGAGTTTCATCGGGAGTCGGACGTGACGTTTTCGCTGCTAGTGTCGCGGAAAAGTTACTTTCTCGAACAGTTTAAACGGGCGCGGATCCAGCAGAGCCCGTTGGCCGGCCGGACTAATTAAACTGAGCGGAGAGTCGTTAGAGTGGACGTTCCGCAATCCGGTCGCGTTTCACAGCGGGCTCGTTGCCCGCACTTCCCCCCGGTGTAATTCGCAATGAAACCCGCAACGCGCGACTCCGCGGAGTCGGCGGATTGAAATAAATGGAGACTGATCGCCACATATCGGCCTTGGCGCAGAAGCCGGCGGTACGAGGGGGATTGAAAAATATCCCGACGCGCGGAAGCGGCCCCGTTCGCTCGCGCTCGCTCGTTTTTAAAAGGGCGCCGAGACGAACGGCGCTAGATCAGGGCCAATCTGATACGAGGGGAGCAATGATACCGAAATGACGTGATTTTTTTCTCTCTCTCTCGGAGCTCCGTATCTTGCGGCGCTCAACCGGCAAGACGGGAATGTCCTGGCGATCGATGGAACCCACCGCGGGGATGAAAGCCCCACTTTAGTCGGATCGGTTAATTTAGGCACGCAAAATAATTTTAGCACAGTATTTTTATTCCGACCGATTTAATATATTTCCATATTTAATAAATCTTACGCTTAAATGTCGTGTGAAAAACATGTTATTTGTGCAAACACTGTTACTTGGTGTCAGCGCTATTTTCGTTCAAGTAAATTTATCAATCTGTTATTATGCAAAATACAATAGCATTTTAAGCAACTTATTTTCTGTGTTAATTAGTCGTTTTCTGTTTTTAAGAACAACTTTTCATGTCTCTATAAAATATGTCTCTATAGTTGAATGAAAAAAAGGACTAAAATAAAAGAATATAGAAGGGAGTCCCCTATTATGAGACAAGTTTCCTAATATGAGATAAGAAGGGGTTTCTGCTAAATTAACAAGCATTATCTGTTGGCCCCACCATGAATTTATTGCTCTTGAAGTCGCCAGCAGTGATTAACAACATTAGTGATTTTTATTGACCGTATCTGGCAATTTTAATGATACAAGAAAATTTATTGCGAAAATTATTACCTCAGCCAGGGTTTGAACCTGGACTTCCCTACACTCTAGCCGGGCGTCTCGACCAATTCGACCACCGAGGCATATTTATATTACAACTTTTTATAAAATTATTGTGTAAAATTACAATTTGTAAAATAAATATGTCTCCTCAAACCAAGCAATATATAATTTTGTATAAACTACATGTGCAAAACGTAACTTCTTACTAAACATACAAAAAATGAATAAACAGTGTATAGTGAATTTATTACTATACACATATGAATACCCTTTGTTCACTGTTGACTATAAATTATAGCGAGATTGTGGTAACTGCAACCATTTTTTTCTTCTTTCTGTCAGTGTACAAGAACTCTGGTAACTCGAGAATTCACGATCTCGCCTTCTTTCGTATGTTACAGCAAGACTGTCCGAACGGCAGGTTAACGCCGGCGAAATTTGTCGACATGTATAAAATGTTCTTCCCGTCCGGCAACGCGGAAGAATTCTGCGACCACGTGTTCCGCACATTCGACATGGACAAGAACGGCTACATCGATTTTAAGGTGAGTGTGGAGTCCTTTACAGGCACGCGAATTGGCGCAGACCGCTGTAATGAGGCGTGTAACGACTACTCCCGGCGAAACCCTCCGAAGAGGATACGCGTCGCGCGACCTGCTCGTCGTACGTCGATCATTCCGCGTGATTAAGCACGATCGTACGCGACAAAATCCGCGCGGCTGATTGACTCGAGGGGGGAAAACGCATTAGACGCCGCAATACTTCCATCGGGAAGAGAAGACCGCGTTTTCACGACGTGGAAATATCGCTCGCGTGAATTTAGGTCGATCGACGGCGGCGCGGCGTTAAGGGGAACCCGCGAATATCGAAAATACACGTTGTAGTCTATTCTGAAAAAAACGTTCGCAGACAAACAATATTATGTTATGTTTATTGCTTTGCCATATACAATAAGGTGTTTGACAAACAATACAAGCAAAAGGTAGTGCACCAGCAAAGATAGCTGCTATGAAGCCTACCCAATAAAACAAGATATATATAGTATATAGAAATATAAAATGAAAGGTTTATCGTTTAACGCAAAATCAAATTTCTACAGTTTACAATGTAGTAGTTCATGACGGTTTGACATCTCTGAATACTTTGATTAGTGAATCGTCTCGTTCTCTCATCTAGCCTCGTTTCGTTAAGCTTCTAGATGGTGAGCAATAAAAGAAGCCGCTGCCAGTCGAAAAGAGGAGAGAGAGGGTGAAGATATAATGGAAGGAGAAAGTTGGTTGTAATATTTTACTGCAGTATAGGAAAAAGCAGCTTGAAATTTAGACGTACGATGAGTAGGAACAGATAGGATGTTCGCATTACGAGTGTTCGGAGTATCACTGGAGTGAAGCTCGGAATTCAAGTGTAGAAGATGTCTTAGGTAGGGGGGTGTGTTATGACGGAGAAGAGAAAAGACAAGACAGCATATATGCAGTACAAAGCGTTGATGAATCTTAAGCCAGCCAGAGGTTTGATACAGAGGAGACAAGTGGTCAAATTTACGTATACAGTATGAGAAGCGGAGACAGGCATTTTGAATGCGTTGCAGACAATAAGTAAGTAAACAGAAAACCATAGTTCTATCCGTAACTAGGTCCACTCAGGTCCGGATTAAGGGGGGCCAAGGGGGTCTGTAGCCCCGGACTTCGTTTATTAGGAGGCCTCACCCGACATAAATTCGTAAGTAACGCGGTTCGTTTATGACTTCACCTTTGAAGCATGGTAACCCACGTTACCACCTCAACTTCTTTACTTTTTGGCCATTTAGTTTCTAGTTAACGCATTTAGGTCGGGTTTTTTGCATTGTTTGGGTATCTTAGCGATAAAAGAACATAAAAAAAGTTTAGTAGTCTTGAATATTTATTGTAAAGGTTTTATAAATAAAGAAATATGAAAAAACCGCAATTTTTTCGGAAAAATTCATTATTGACCAAGTTTTTCAAGATTATCTCTTGAAAACTTTGTACAAAGGGGTTTTCGGGGTCGCTCATTACGAATCTGATGTCAGATTTTCAAAATTAAAAATGACCGGCTTAAAGTGGCGGATGCAAAGTATGTGAATTTTTTAAGTTTTCAAGTTTTTCAGCATTTTCGTTTGATTGCAAAAAATGGTTCAATAGAAAAATGTATGCTTCAAAGGGTTAAGTAAAGTTTCCACAGATAAATTTAATATCGCCAGTAGTTAAAACCAATGATATGTAATTTTTAACGACCTACACTGGGCAATGTTTTTATTTTAAAAGCACACTACGACGTTTCGACCCCGGATTTGGACCCTTCTCAGGTAATCTGTTCACGAAATTGTTAATCGTGAACAGATTACTTGAGAAGGGTCCAAATCCGGGACCGAAACGTTGTAGTGTGTTTTCTGTAATCTGTTCGCGATTAACACTTTCGTGAACAGATTACTTGAGAAGGGTGCAAATCCGGGACCGGAACGTTGTAGTGTGTTTCAAAAATAAAACCATTGGCCAGTGTCGTCGTGAAAAGTTACATGTCGTTAAATAAAGTTTTACCTGAATGCAAAATTTCAAAGGGCCGACAGGGAGTGGACCTACTATGGTATACCCCGATAAAACTAGGCGCCGAGACGCGGGCGATTCTCAGCTGGACGCGTACGAAAGCGCTACGTCCGATCATGCGCTCGACGAACGCTTCGGCGACGTAAACCTTTCGCGAGATTCCAGGTCGCGTATTCTTTCGCACCTGCTCGTCCCGTGATTACGAATTTACTTGCCCCTTTATAATCCGTTTAAGCCGTTAGCGATGCATTATTTATATGGCGCACGACGCGCCCAGCTCTCTCCGTCGCTCTTCCGTCGTCCCTTCCCGCCCTCCGTCGGCTCCGGTAACCGTCTCGACTCGGAAACTCGCAAATCCTCCGAGGGAAGTGCCTCACGTCACGCGTGGTCTCCGTTTCTAAGCAGAGCGGGCAGATATTCTCAGCCGCCATCGGCACTACAGCTGGTCGGTAATTTAATATAGTGCGCCAAAGGTGCGACGCGTCGTGTTCGCCAGCCGGCGAATAGCTATTTGACATCTGACCCGAATACGCCGGATAAAACCCCGAGCTTTGTCTAACGTCATGCTTCATGAGGTGGTTTCGCGTCGCATCGCTGATCAAAGTCTTCTTAGAGCGACTGCACGATTCGCCCCGGAGAGGCATCCGGAGGATGCGAGCGACGCGCGACTTTTCAGCCTCCTCACCGTAATTCTTCAGCTACCTTGTCTTTTTGTCTCCTTGGCTTAACCCTCTCCCCCGCCCCCTCCACTCCGCTGTCGCTTTTGATCTTCGAGCAATGCTACGCCGTTCTCGCGATGCGATCCATACAATTAATTACGAAACTTATTAATATATGATAAAGTCTTATCGGAATTTTCTTATCTCTTGCAAGGGACACGCTTAGATACAAATATACTTTCTGCACACACCCTGGATCTCTGCGTGAACAATAAGATTTCAAGAAGAATTAAATCGGGGTTCCTGACAGTCGTGTCATATTCCTTGTTAGAAATAATCTGAAGTGGAAGTGAAAGATAGGTGAACTCTCTTTCGCTATCTCATTCTTTCGTAAAATGCATAAAGTCGGCATACAAATTATGAGGAGCAAGGAAATATTTTAATCTTCTCAAATTTATAGTTATCATAAGAGGATTTAAAAGTATTGTGATAACACACAATTATATTCATTACAAAAAAATATCGCGATATTGCATATCGTGTAGTCGGTCCTTTTGCCTTGATACTAATATGCAAGGAATAAAGCAAATGAAGGAGAAACAGCGAGAGAGCGAGAGAGAGAGAGAAAGAGAGAGAGAGAGAAAATTATTCGTGCTTTGAAATGATATTGGAAATTCTATATTACGTATTCAAAGTAATATAACATGTATAAAATAAATTAAAAATCTCAATATAATTTATCTGCATTAATTGCGCGTTCAATATAATTAATATTTCGTTAACATTACTACGAGATCGGGAAAGAATATAAAGGGGAAAATTTCCTATTATGAGATAGCAGGTTTTCCACACCCAAATTCAATCACAAATCTCTTTTCGCAACATCACACGATTCAACAATAAATTTTCCACTAAGCATATTTCATTCCAAGGGCAATAAATTCACGATGGAAATCAACAGACGATGTCTGTTAATTTAGCAGAAACCCCGCTATCTCATATTCGGAGCTTATCTTATCATAGCGGATCACTTTCCTCTAATAATATTGTTTGTCTCATTGGACGAAAGTCGTGTGTAGGAAAGAAGGTTAAGTGTTATATGTTACACTATATTTGGCAAAATGTTAGTCGCAGATATTAAATATGGAGTCTGAAGTCGTTTTACAAGATTTCAGGTTAAATATGTTGCGTGAAATTCCATTTTCTGTTTTTAACGTATCGCGTCGCACTAATCATCCACTCAGCAAAGCTATTACGAATGCGTTTCTTTTTAACAGAATTATTGGAGCGAACTATCTCCAGGATATCTTTCATGTTAATGTGCAAATTATACAATCACCTAAGTCAAGACCCTTGTCTATAAATAGTTGAGCTTATAATAAATTATTTACTTCTTACTTTATGCGCAAGTTCCACCTAACGTGAGATTGTACTAATATGTTAAACAAAATTATGTAATTTGTGACTACACGGCTCGATAATATTTTATTAATGAAAACTTAACGAAAAATTTTTCACATTTGAATATTAAATATCACGAAACTTAATTCTCGATTTAAAGTTCGACGAAAATAGAATTCTCTTGTAATTAATCAAAATACGAAATTTGTTATCTATTGAATCTAAACTGAATACAGAATTGGTTATCACTTATTGAGGTCCGTGAGTTATTGAAACTGGTTGAAATTTAAAGTGTGTTACTTAAATCAAAATACTGAGTTTACTGTTTATTTACATTTTCCAACGCTCAACTTACGAAAATTATACATAATTCAGGATATTAAATCGCCATAGTCTGCTTCTTTTGCAAACTTTCTAAATGAAAAACGGACATCTGCTTTCTGTTCCCTCGTTAAAATTTTATCCGGAAGCAAGTAAAAGACCGACCCAGTCCATATGCATAATATAAATTATTCAACAAAAGAGAACGACTGCAATGTTACAAATTACATTTTATTGCAAAAGTAATTAGAGTCGTTTTCTTTTCATTTGCAACATTGCCGATGCAAACACAATAAATCATTGTTTAAACTCTCGGAAATCGAACACGCGAAACAAACCAATCTACGTTCCAAATGATGAATATACAAACTTTGTCCAAGCAGTCCATCGACGCGGACATTTAATACCCGACGAGTTGTAGATGCAATCTGCCTCGTGCCCGCGTATCTCGCGGTCGTGCAACACTTAAGAAATTTCGCGTTTAGATGGCAAAGTTTCGCCGGAGTTTCACCAATACGAAAGCTCCATTGTAACTTCATCGCTAGCCGAAGTTCTGTTTATGTACACCATGTACGCCCGCGTAAGCTCTAAACGACTATTATT